CGCAACACCAGGGGACCCTGTCCAAAGACTGGTCGGTGAAGCCCCTGGCCGAGAGACGCGAGGCCAGAGGTTCAGCTGGTGAGCGGCGTACCGAGCCGCGTAGGGCCACAGAAAATGGGGCGCGCGGGCGTGGATCATGGAGGTGCGGGCAATCTCCATGACCAGGCCTAGCCGGCGCTCAGCAACCCCATTCTGCTGTGGAGAGTCTGGAAGAGTCCAGGACTGGGTGATGCCCTGCTCAGCACAGAATCTGGCGAGAATGCCGGAGCGAAACTCACCCCCACGGTCGGAGTGGAGACAACTGACACGACGACGACGAGTACTCTCGGTGGCGAGCAGCGACGAAAAGTGGCCAGAGGGGCGTACGTGTCACCGTCCACACAGACTGCAGTGTCACCAGAAGGCTCAACCCAGACCCCGACGTGCTGTCTCGCCAGAGGAGCCACACCAACCAGGTTCCTAGAGAAAGTAGGAACGTGGAGGCCGGTCAGAGAACCGGAAGGGGCAGCTGGGCACGGGAGGGTAGTGGCGTGAGTCGCAATGACCGGTCCCGAAGAGGGATCGGCCAGTGCTACAGAAACCGGCGCCGAGAGTGGAGTAAGAGTCGTGCTGTCGCGGAAGAAGCACTGCGTCGCTCCGGAGTCCAGTGTGAAGGAGAGCGACGCGTCCGCCGAGGGAGCACCTGTACTAGTAGCTAGACAGGATCCTACACCAGCACCTACTCTAGCAACAGGCAAAGATCCTACGCTAGGTACAGGCAAGTAAACAGATCCAGCAGCACTATAGTCAACATCAGCATACATCGCATAAGACCTAGCATCATCCATAGACATATCAAACACAGCAACACCACGAGCAAGGAGTGGTCCCCAGCGCGGTGGCGGGGGAGCGGAGGGGCCGTGGTGCAGGACGTACAGGTCGTCGAGACGGCTGAAGCAGCGTGCAGCAGAGTGGTCAGGGCGGCCGCAGTACGTGCCCCTGCGCGGACCCGTCAGGATCCAGTACTCACAGGGACCAACGTCGCGGCCGGCCGAGCGGGGTCCCCGACTAGAAGGGGCACCACTGCGCCCAGTGCTCGGGGGGCCCGTAGGCCTCCACTGCTGCGGGGGGCCCCACTGCTGCGAAGGGCCCCACTGCTGCTGAGTGCCCCACTGCTGGGGCTGCTGCTGAGGCGGACGCTGCTGCTGGCCCTGGCGCTGCTGCTGCTGTCCCTGCCGCTGCTGCTGTCCAGGCGGTGGCAGCTGCGGAGGAGTCTGCTGCTGCTGCGGTAACCCCTCACCACTGTCTAGAGGAGAGCCGTCAGGTCCCGAGTCACCCCCGCCGCCACCCCCGCCACTAGTACTACCGCCACCCGCAACACCCCTAGAACCCCCGCCGCCCTTCCCTCCCTTCTTGCCGGACTTGCCACGTTTCTGTCCGCCAGAGACAGAAACGGCCGCCGTCTCCTCAGAGGCAGAAGACGTGGGAGTGGCAAGGGAGGCAGTGAAGGTGGGAAGCTGTGGTACCGCACACCCCTCAAAGAGACGAGGAGGAGGCGCGGAAGAGGCGGAGGCAACAGCGAGGAGGTTACTCTCGATCTTCGAGAGAGCGGTCTCAAGAAGATCGATAGTAAGCTCAGTGGGGTGCTTCAGGAGAAGCGCGTCGCGGGCTGTGGCTAGACGGTCAGGGAGGCGAGTGACTAACCAGTGAATAGTGAGCCACATGGGGGGGGGTGCAAGGGCAAGCTGTTCCTCAGTGCAAGCGGCCTTGAAGCGAGCTTCAAGGGAGCGCAGGTGGGTAGCGAGGTCAGCGACAGTCTCAAAGGAGGCGAGGTCAGGGTAGATAAAGGGGACGAGGAGGCGGCTGAGGGAGGCAGAGGAGGGAGTGGAGTAGCGAGCAACAATAGCAGTGTAAAGGTCTGCAGCAGACTCGACCTGAGTGAAGTGGACGGCCTCAGTCGGCGGGAGAAGGTCGGTCAGGGCGAGGCAGGCAGCAGCGTCACGAGACTCCCACACGTCACGAGCGAGGAACCGGCGCTGGTACTCAGCCTCCTGCTCGGAAGTAGGCGGTGGGGTAGTGGGCAGCGGTGTAGGCAGAGCACCGGACGCGTGCGCAAACAGGTGCACGCCATCCTGGCGCTGGCTCCTAAGGTGGCGCTGGGCCTGCGTCAGCCAGGTACTAAAGTCGATCGCGCGCCCCTCAGGGTCGAAACGGAGCACGTGAGATGTCGCCATGAGGGGCGAGAACAAGCGATAGCGGCCGCCAGCCGCGAGAGGAGGAGGAGAGGGAGGTGAGTGCGAGGCGGGTGCGCGCAGGCGGGGCGCGATTTGGCTGGGCGCGGGGCGGCGGGGCGCGCGCTGGCGGGGCGCGCGGGCGCGCTGGCGTGCGTGCTGGCGGGCGCGCTGGCGGGCTCGCTGGCGAGCTCGCTGGCGGGCGCGCTGGCAGGCGAGCTGGCGGGCTCGCTGGTGCGCCCGCTGGCGGGCGCGCTGGCGGGCTGGCGTGCAAGCGGGCTGACGCGCGG